CTTTCTTGGTCCAAATATTTGCCTTTTGTTCTTAAATGGCCCAACAACTTTTATTCATGAATTAATTTGTCATTTTAGTCCCAAACTAGATAGATAAAGTGTAATCACAGGCTCCCCATTAATTTTTTTTTTTGTGTGTATAATCGGCGATATTGATAAAAGTAATAGATTTAAATAATAAAAGTAAAAAAATATATAGTTTTTACTTAATGAGCAATGTTGTGAGTATATACAACCATTAGATGTAACCAGTGGAATCACGGGTACCGCAATAACTTTTTTGTGTGTCCGACCATTTGTGTGTCCGACTGACATCATTGATAAGTAATGATTTCCAGACATGTAATGTACTTAACAACTGAAAGTAAAATTTGATGTAGATAAAAAATTCTAATTAGCACATCTAATAGCACGGATAAAGAAAATGACGTATTTAACAACGCGAATAAAAAAATTCATATCTATTTTTCATAGCCGAATCGCAAAAGAGTTTGGAACATGAACAACAATATTAATTTACAAACACCTAACATATTATATTTCTGATCATTAATTGAGATTAGTATTTAAAAGGATAATTTGTACATATAAAGAATATCTACTCTGACGAAAACATATTTTCTTCCATGTTAATTGAGAACATAGTTTTTACAATATTTCGATCACGATTTGGGTTTGGGTTAATTCGTACTATGCTGATTAGGCCCAATTTCAGAACTCCCAGATGGCGACAACAAAAGCCGATAGCAAATAAATTTAACTAAACTGTGATACATAGAACATGATTATCGAATGTCATGATTTATATCGAAACATTATACTTAATGAAATCAAATGATCAAAATGAAATTAAATACGATAACATTTTTTTTTTGTGTGGGTATAAGGTAGTATACTATATTATTCTGTTCATTTAAGTTTCATTTGATTAATCAACTACTTTCTTTTCATATCAAAGTTTCTTATAGGTTACAGTAGTATTCATTACAAAAAATTCCTAAGCTACAACTTTACTTTTTTGTAGTACTACTGATTTTCTAAACTAAATAATAATGATGATGCAGTTTTTTTTTTCCAAAAATAGTTAAACTATAAATATATAGGTCCAAGAACTCATACTGTACCTCCCTAACTTTTAGTTGAATCCTCTCATTAAACTTTTTTGTGATTTGACAATAAATCACATTAAGGGAAAACTCGATGATACAGGTTACTTATTATCACAACTTGCCGGAAGATAAAATTACCGGAATTATAATATCCCAACTTTGAAAGATAGTCCCAGCCTGAAATTCTAGTACTATTTTTTGACCTTAGATAGAATTCTACAAAACAAAGAAACATACACTAAGAAGAAAAGTCCCTGACCAGGGAAAAGCACAAAATTTTTAAAGGACCACAAAAATCATACAATGGGGATACATTGACCATTGAAGCGTGAGAACATTAAGGTTTTCCTTACTTTCCTCCATTAGACACCTGAAACAAAATGGAGCCGTTAGAGGCAAGTCTAACAAAATAATATAAGCTTATAACATTACATAATCATCAACAAATGGTAGATCATCAAGGGTAAGCTTATAACATTTCATAATCATCAACAAATGGTAGATCATCAAGGGCATCTTGACATCTAAAGAAGATGTAAATCCATTTGAACTGATGTATAATCAAAGAATTTTCGGAACTGATATGCTAAGGTGACAAATCCATATAATCCAAAAGCTTTTGTTAAATCAATTAAAAATTTAATGACTCAAAAAATGATATGCACAGAAGGAGCAAGGAAAACATTTCATAAAACAAAAAATAGTCATCATCATATTAGGGAAGACGGGGAGATTTCTCACAGATTATCTCAGATACCCAAGTTTTTTCTTCACATTTTCTTTCTTTCATTGAGTTTCCCTAATATTATCTCTTTTAGTAAATATATATGCACGTAGTTTGTGTCAATGGGAATTCACTATTGTCAATATCAAATAGAAAGGGCAGAGGACATGGCTGCCAATGATTTAACTTGCTTGAAAAAACAACCAGAGATGAACCAAGATCGGTGGTGTGTCAAAATTGATGGGATAATCAAGAGAAGACAATAAATTTATATGGGGATGAATTTGTACCATGAAATCAACATATGAAAAGAAGAGATCAAAGCAGACATGAAAAGCGCAAAGCTGCTTATTTTAGTAGCTCATCAAGAAATGGCCTTAAACCTCCCACTGCAGCACCCTGTAGATAAAAAAGCTTACCTTCTTTTTTCCAAACTGAAGCATGAACCCAATAACTAATCACTCAATCATAGAGAAACATGAAGCATCCTGATATTCTAAGATGATGTAAGAAGCTTAACCAGCAAGAACTATATTTAACATTCACTAATGATCTTGATTTATTTGATGTATTTTCAGATTTTTACAATTATCTATAACTGACCAGCCGACCTTCACAATTTTTCCAATAAGAGTTTACCTACTCCAGAGAACTCAGTTCCATGCAATCATACATAAAAATCACGAACAATCAATCAAGCAGTTAAATACAATATAAAAAGGCAAAGCACTAAACCAGCAAAAGTCTCCATTTAATTTCAACATCACTACCCAAATGCATTATTTGTGATTGTGGATGGTGAGATCCACTACCATTTCAAATAGCAATCGTACATAAATTACAGGCACAAGGATTTCGGCATATTATTCTTCCTCCAAATAGTCAAATTAAAAATATAAAAAGACATGCATTTTCTTTTTTACCCAAAAGCAAACCTTAGGACAAGTCACAAAATCCCAAACAAATTTGAAATGTGTGAAATAAATATCCTCATGAACCCATGAAAAACCAGCGAGAGAAACTACAGTTCAAGTGCACCAATCCTTATATAAGCTCAACCGCAGGTTTAAAATCTCTTCAAAACGTTTTACGTAGTAAGATTGAGCGAACTTTAGGATGAGTGGCTAAACCCCTAAAATATTTGAAATGTATGAGAAAGGAAAATACTTATGAACCCATATGAAGAAACCAACACAAAATATTGACCATAGAATCAGTCTCACAATCCTCTTCCCATCTATACATTGTCTCAGGCAAAATTCAAAAGGATAAATAGGAAACCAAAGCAGCATCCACAATACCTCAACAGCTGTTAACACCTTCTTTTCACAAATTTTTATCATATTTTTGCTTTTTTGTTGCAGCTTTCAAACCCCTTCCATGCAAGGCTGCAAAAAAACACCATAACAGAAGGGCCAATGGCACAGTAAGCACATGAAAATGGGAGCATAAAACATAAGTGAAATCATATCCTTATACGAAAGAAGCCTTGCGTTATATGCACAAACATAATAGTAGAATAGAACATAGCCAAGACCCTCTAAATCATCTTTTTGACTTCGCTACGCAGGATAAAACAATATGATTAAAAACTAATAATTTTCCTACCCCAATATCAACAGAGCTCTTATCTTCACCCTATCCCACACGTTGTAGAGCTTCTCGAAGCAAACATATGACTACATCTGTAACTGCAAAATTCAAACACGGCCCTGTAAGAATCCACCAAAGAAAATCTCGTTCTGTAGTTGCAGTTTGCTCTTCGATTATGATGTCCAGAAACCAAAAAAAGGGAGAAATGCTATACCCTTGCAAGATTTAATATTGAGGAACTAATATATAAGCTTTCTATCAAAACATCTATCACTAACAGATCTTGAGAGTCCAGTAAATAAAGAATCAAATAAACTTACACAGGAAGAATAAAACATAATTAACCGAAGAGTCCAAACTCCAAACATATGTCTCTATGATTAAATACAGAAAGTGATATAGAACTCACCGCATGATTCGACCATTTTCATCAGTCAATTGGGTCCGTCATCTCAGTTTATGAGTTTCCGACAAAGAAGAAGCATGGTAAGTAATTGAGGACTCTGAAATTAAAATCAAACCCAATTATTAATTGAACAACCATGCGTCAAGAATCAACTGCAATATGAGACGGGGTTCTTACAGAAGAAAAGTGCAGAGACAACTATTCTTACTTCCGGCGTTCGCACCGTCTTCGATGATTCTCACCCGCGACCTTAGTTCTTCATGAATAGTCCTTTATCAATCGGCCATTGTCTCTGCCATCCCGAAATCTTCCGCCGCCGCCACGCCCTTTCAGAAATCTCATTGAATAATTAATGAAGAAGGGGAGGAAAAATCGAGATTTCTGTGATGTGAGTGTCTCACTAATTAAATCCGTTCGGGGAAATATATTCTGGAGGAGAGAAAAAGGAGCCAAGGGAGCAGAGTCTCCATCGGAATAGTATTTACTTAGGTTGAAATTTGATAAATGGGTAAATAGTTTTGTCCGGGGGCAAAATTTGAACTCATAAGTGAACTAAAGCAAAAAGGACATTGAATAATGTTCCATTCACCACAATTAAATTTTTCTTCTTTATTGAAATCACAAATAAATTTAGGAAGATGTGAAATTTGGCTGTGGTGTGCATGCTGAGTGGGGTAACCAATTGAAGTGGGAGTACAAAATACTACAGTACACGCTAGGAGGGAAAATAGAAAAATAAAAATAAGCTAAAATTACAATAAAATAACACATCACCAGAAATAAGTTTTGGTTGGATCTGAATTCATTAGAGAAGGATACGTGTCCAGGAGGGGGGAAGGGGAACGGGCGGGAAAACCTGCCCAAGGGGCTTCTCTTTTAGTAATAGGAATGATTTTCTAGTACAACTTATAAAACAACCATATTCAAATTAAAATCTTTTTAAATTATGAAATCCTATTATTTTACACAAAATTTAACTATACCTTGAATATGATGAAATTAAATTATATATAGACATTTTATTAAAAATAAAAGTTGCTTACCTTGTATAACTTTATAAATTTTAATCATAAAGAATAAATATACTTATCTTAAACTGTAATTACAGGCTCTAAAGAACTATTGTTGACTATTATCATAAAAAAATTCATAAATATTAAGTTTTTCTAATTATTAATATATTTTTAAATTACATATTATTTATTACGTCGTAATGACGTCATCCGAGTCGATCCCGAGTCGACCCAAATCGACCCCTAAAACCCTGAGCCCTACCCTCACCGAGTCAGTGTCGAGCCGAGTCTGATAACAATGATTTCCTCCCACCGCCTAACTTTCTTTCCTCTCTCACTCCCTCGCGTGCATCACCACCACCACCACCCTTCAATTGCCACCATAACATTCTTTCTATAAAAAAAAAAAAAAAAAAAAAAAAAAAGAGGAGCAAGGAAGCTGAAACTCAGGGTTGAAATCAAATAAGAAGAGGAAGGGATCTGAAGGGGTATTAAATTAATAAAGGGAGGAGCCGAGAGGAGAAGAGCAAGAGATGATGGAGGAGAATAAAAGTATCAAGGTAAACAAGGGTTTTAACTATGGATGATTTTAATTTAGAGTGCAGTGATTTGTTTTGGTTATAGTTCGGCTAGAGTTCCTGTTTGTTTATTTAAATTCATGCTGGGAGTAATGAATTAGGTAGCTGAATTTGTTGACTGTTCGATGCGAGCTTGAAGAGCAGCTCACTAGTTCTTTAAATTTAATACTTCTTTGAGTCACGTCTTCTACCATAGGTTTTATATTGTTGTTTGTCACTTTGTTAACCAAAATTGATTGGCTTAAAGAGGAAAGAAAGGCCTTTGGCCGAAGGTAATGAAACAAAGCAAAAAGGGAGAAAATAAAGATAATTGCTGATTATTCTTATTGTGATGGCATGTGACAAGTGTTAAAGTTGCTGGTTTGTTGTTTGTTATAAAGTACTTTTATAGCCTAGATCTTTGCATAAAATAAAGGAAGATGCATGAAGTTACTGATGTTTTGTTACGATTGAATATGCGGAAAAGGGAAATGAGAAAGGAACAAGGAAGTAAGCCATATTGTTAAGTCTTTGAGGCATAAATTGCATGCTGTGTAAATTGCTGGAGATTGTTCATTGAATGTGGACATAAGTAATGAATGCTCTGGGAGTCGAGGTTCTGTTTGCAAATGATTGCATGTGATCAAGACAAAACATGTTTACTCTTTGTTTCCTAAAGATATAGAAAATCAGATTTGAGTCCTGACTGTTGAATGGCTTGTTTTCCCTATTTCTTGAATCCTTTCCAAGATGTCTTTATATAAATCTCTTCTATTTTTAATCTAGATTAATGTGGTTTCTACGGATTGGTAAACGGACTCTTGGTTTGTCCGGAAATCAGATTTGAACATGGCATGTTCATTGCTGAAAGTGCAGAAAACCAGATTCATGTCTTCCTGTTTACAGGCCTATTTCTCTTAGGTCCTGAACTCTTTTTCGGATTTTCTTTTTGTGAAACTGTTCTTTATTCAGTTTGCTTTGTTGTGGTTTTTACGGTTTTATCAAATGGACTTATAATTCGTCCAGAAATCTGAAATGAATACGACATATGTATTGCTGAAAAGTGTAGAAAAACAGATTTGTGATACCCTGTTAACGTGCCTATTTCTCTTAGGTTTTGAACTCTTTTTCAGATTTTCTTTTTGGAAAACTCATCTATGTTTGATGAAATTTAATGTAGTTTTTACGGAATATCAAATGGACTCACGGTTTGTCCAGAAGATAAGTTTGAACTTGATCTAACAGTTCTGAAACTTTCTGTCCAAATAAAATCTGCATTTAGATACTGTTTTTAGGGGTCTGTTTTACATGACTTCTAAGCTTCCTTTTCTGATTGCTTTTGATAAAATCACTCTCCGTTTATTGAGGTTCAATATTGTTTTGATAGGTTGCTGAAACGAGGAATGAGTTGTACAAAACATTCTTTGAAAATGATCACTTAGTCCCCTTAGCTCTGAAAATTCAGAACTAAAGATTTAGAAGGCTAACTTTCGCCATTTATCCTGGAGCTAGAACCCTTTCCTAATGAGAGTTCTTTACTTTTCTTCTCTGTTTATCTTAGGTATATTCATAATGTAAGTTATGGACTTTATCTTAGGTATATTTTTAATGTAAGCTATGGACTGCGAAAATGAACCAACAAAATTTTGGAATAGCTTGTAGAACTTGAGGAAATGAGAGTTTATTAGCAAAGGTGAGTACTCCTCCTGGGACTTACATGTGATTTTCCTCCTTATATTGTACTTGTAGATATATAAGAGTTTATATGCTTTAATGAAGTTTCTCATACCTTTAAATGTTGTTGGTATTGTGATTGATCAAATGAACAAATGCATGTTATTTTATGATCCCTAGTGTACTTTATCACTATGGGATAAGTGATATGTGTTTAATGGTTAATTGTACCGATGTGCTTGAATAACAATCTGAATTGAATGTGCCAATGTGTTTGTTTGAAAATGTGTGATTGATTGTACCAAAGTGCCAGTGTGATAATGTGAAATGAGTGTGCTTATTTGTTAAATTGACAATGTGAAAAGTGATAAAAGAGAATGATAACTCGGGTGTACTTTATCACCCCAATGAAAAGAAATGTTAATGGAATGCAATGAATGAGTGCATTGAATGATTGAATGCCAATGTGTGTTTGTTGCTCGAGTGACTAACGTTGCTTGAAGCCTGGGCCCATTGCTTTGGTTTGTGCGAAGCCTTGCATGCCGGCATTGGGCTTGGATGTTAAGGTTAGCCACCTTGGCCAGTGAATGTGGTACTCATGAGTATCACGTGGTGCCGCTAGTGTTGGCCACAGGGGATATAAGGTTTCTAATGGTGGCACTAATGTTGGCCACGAATGTTAATGAACTGTCAATGTTAATGGCAGCAATGTCAACGTCAATGACAGTTGACCTCTGATTTGGGATTTTCGCTTATATGCCACATAGGTGTATAGCAGCCCTCACTATGTCCCTGTATCCTTCCTTTGTTTTAAAGATGGCCCTGGCCGGGTCAGTGATTGTTCTTTCAATTTATGATTATAATGTATCGTATAATGCTTAATGAGACTGTGTATTGAATGCTACTGTTGAGATGAATGTGAACCACTGAACCTTTCTTTGAGCTTACATGATGAGGATAAAGTTCAGTACGTTTGTATTACTTCTTTGAATTTCAATGTTGATAATGCTCTATTGAACCTGGAACTCTGTTATGATTGTTTCTTTTGAAATGTTTTTGAGCATTTGAATGTGTGAAAATTGCTTATGTATAGTTCAATAGGTTAGGATAGAGAGGACCTCATTGAGCGCTAGCTCATCCCTCTATATTTTACCTTCAAAGTCCCAGGTTTAACAGGAGAGCATGACAGTGAATTGAACGTGGAGATAAGTATGGTGTTCACCATGTGTATAGTCTAAGTTTATGCTTTTGCAGTTTATGAACTGATGCATTCTCAGAGTTTTGCAAACTGAGGTATAGTTTTTGCCAAAGGCTCTTTTGTAAGGAGTGTAGCTATTGTGTAAACTTAATAGTAAATAATAAATTATTTATAATTTATTTCTGTTCCACGATGCCTTGAGCGAGAGATCGCTCGGCGGGCGGCCCTCAAGAGTTTTCAGCTCGTCTTAATTTGAGCTTGAAAATTGGGGTCGTTACAGGTGGTATCAGAGCATAGGGAAATGAACCTAGGGACAAATATAGACAAGCTGAGGGTTAATGTTAGAAATTTAGATAAGTGAAAAGCTTAGGTATGGACTTACTCAAAATTTAGCTAATATTTATATGAGAGTTCGATTGCAAAGCTTTTATGCATGGATGCTCACCGATCCTTCTGGGAATGATCAACCTGAGGAGTTGAATTGGTAACTTTCTTGCAAAAAGAATATGCTTTAATGAAGTTTCTCATACCTTTTATGCATGTGTAATCATTATTTATTTATTACAGGGAACTCCAGAAAAGGCCGGTATTGTTAAATGGGGAACAACGACGGTTGTTGGAATATTTGCAGGAATGTTATATGGGGGTAGCAAGGAGGCATCAGCTTCTGTTGTGAGTTTGCTTTACATATGGCTATTTTAATTGGAGTATTTTCCCCCTGTTTTGGTTTTCTAGTATGATGAAGCATGAAAATTTATTGGCGTGCCCAATTTGTTCAAGTATGGTGGCCTATGTCGCTAGTTATTTCACTTCATTTTAGGTTGAGTAAGACACCTACTAGTGGAATCCAAAATATTGAAAAGTGGATTACTTCATTGCTCGTATAATTTGGGGGCAGTTTTACTAATGTAAGAGCATGTTAAGATCGATGGACAGTGGATGGGTCGTATAACTTCTTTCAACAGTGAAGCTCTTTTAAAATTAGTATGGCCTAGTTTCGATTTTGATCGTTTATTCTTGATTTCAGAGCAAGAAGTAAGTTTAAACTTAATATAAGAAAAGACTCAAACTTTGCTTTGTTTTACGTTTAATTCGTTAATTCTAGAAAGAGGTTTATTCGGATAATATCTTGAACAACTGGATATTGAAGAGAAGAAAAATTTCCTATACTATGTATATCATTATGACGGAGAGAACTTTGAACTAATAACCTTCAATGTTTTATCACATCCAGTTGAAAGCTTTGATTTCCAGTATGGAAGAAATTAACAATTTCAAGAAAGAGTCATCAGCAAGATCCTTTCTGCTAAATTTGAGTTGAAATATAATGGACTTCCTATTTCTCCCGCCTTTTGTCTATTTTGTTAAATCAGAATTTTAGTGGTAATTTTCTAAAATGTGATGAGTGCAAGCCTCTGAGAAATTTCTGTCTATTCTCTTGGGATGTTTTTATGTGGGATTTAACCCTTTCGCTTGTGTTTTTTCAGAGTAAGGACGCTGAAGTCATGTTGAAGCTTGGCAGTACACCTGACAAACGGGAACAATACCGGCTGATGCGAGATGCTATGGAAAAAAGATTCATTCGAGTTACTCGTGGTTCTATAGTTGGTGGAGTTCGCCTTGGGATGTTTACTGCTGCTTTCTATGGTTTGCAAAATTTACTTGCAGAAAAAAGAGGGGTCCATGATATTTATAATGTTGTTGCTGCTGGTTCTGCTACCGCAGCAACATTTGGTCTAATAAGTAAGAATCACATTATCCGTGCATAAAGGTTTTTTTCATTAGTTTGCTGAAAGTTTTATTGTTGTCTAGTTAAATGGTCACCAATTATTTGCATTCCTTCATAAATGCAGTGCCTGGATCACTCCATTGGCGCTTAAGGAATGTGATGCTGGGATCTGTTTTGGGTGCGGGAGTTTGCTTTCCTCTAGGTAACACAAAGAAAACTATTTTGCTTCTTTTACTCTATAAGTGATGATTGGTGGGAATTATTAGGTTCTTCCACCTTGATTTCTGCTTCTTTTGAACAATGGTAGCTGGTTTTTACCACCCAAAAATATCTTCCGTCAGCCTATATATTTTTCCCTTGAAGCATTTAGTTATGTTCCTTTTTTTCTTTTGTTTTATAGTTTTGTCTTCTTTTTCATTTTGGTACAAATGAGGTGTCTGAATTATATTCCCTTTCACTGAATGAATATATGTCTATGCTCACGGAGGATAACGTGAGTGAAAGTATATAGTAAGTATTCAGACAGCTTCTCAAAGATGGATATGAGTTGATTTGTCTTCCAACTTTAGGTAGCAATGAAACTAAACGAAGTTGAAAAATCAGCTGTTAAATAGGAGGGGAGAAAGTATGTGAAGAAGAAAACACTGTTTCAGTAGTGGTGCCAGTGTATATCATTTGTGAACTGAAAGGAAATTTCAGAAGCAATGCAAAACTCCAGACGTAATGGTAAAGGAGATGCTGTAGGAAATTATTTAGTGTCTTCAACAATGTTGTCGACAAGTGAAGGGTAAAGAAATTGAGTTTCTGTACAACTTAAGAATCTGTTCTGAGCATTTGGAAATGATCAATCATGTAAGAGATAGGAACTGAACATTGTAACTAGTACTACTTTTACCATTAAAAGAAAAAGACATAACTTAGATGTTTTTGTGTCTTGGAAAATTGTGATGAGCACCAAAGGAAGTTGACTATTAGCGTTAGGCGTGGTATGTGCTCTGTTTATGAATCATGGGCCTTTAAGATTGTTTTAGGGACTGTTTTTGTGAATTATGTGCCTTTAAGATTGTTTTGACACACATTTAATTTAAAGGTTGCAAAGAAACTTAGCTAAACGGCTTTGAATTTGTGATATTTTTCCTGTTGGATGATCTTTTTCTTGATTGTGTTCTTTAGCTTATAGGATGGTAGTTCAACTTTGCTTTTACTGTTTGCCAATGACCATCATCGGGTGTGTATATCTTTTCTCGGATGAATGGAAGATTTAGGTCTGAAGTATTCTTTTACGACAGGTTGGCTTCATTTAAAACTTGTAGAAAAAGCAAATGAGGGAAACACCATCTCTGCTGGTAATCCAGTTGAAGCAAAGAGCGGTGTTGGTGGTGCAATTGAGAGGCTGGAGGAGCAACTATCGAAATAACTAGATGGACCTAAGGCACTCAAAGTGACAATAATAACATAGTATATACTCTATTCGACCCGAACAAATAGTTTACTTTAATGTAATGTTCGACTTCAGCAAAACGGATTATTTTCTTAGAATAGAGTGATAATATGTTTTTTTTATTTATTTTTATTTTGTAAGAGAACACAAAAAATAGAATAGGGTTAGATATTGAACAGTTGGCATGCATTTATTCAGTGAGCATCTATATTTCTTTAATAGAGAGCATTATCCTACTTCCTCGCAAATTTTTTGATTTAAAAAGGGGAAACTACATTTTATCCCCCGAGTTTTGGTCACCTAACTATTTCCCCCTTGAGTTTTGGTAATACTACCATTTCCTCTTTTGACTCACGGTCAATCTACAAAAACCCCCTTACTCGCCGAAAAAGTGATGCAATATTCTGACATCATCAAAATTTCCTTTTGAACAGAAAAAAATACCCTCACTTAAGTAATCCATATTGATTACTATTCCACATGCCAAAAATGGAGATCCCATACTGGTGTTTTCAAAATTTGGGTTGATTAATTAGTTAATCAGGTTTTTCTGCTTCCCTTTATATTTTTCTCTGTATCTTTTTCTATTCTTTTTAGTTTTTCTTTAAATGATTTGTTATAATTCTCTGACTAGATAAATAAGTCACCTCCAGGTCGCCACCAAAAGAACCTCGGCACCTTCAGTTTTGTAACATCACCAACCCATTGCCTTTAATCTTCAAATTAAAATTTTTAGAACCCAGAGTACGAAAGGCATCTAAAAATCCCTAACATAATCATAAGAGAAAAAATGTCGTTCCTGCGTAAAGCTTTGCCCTCGTCGTCAATCATACCTAATAGATTTTCGGTTAATCAACTTTTCCCTAATATTTGAAATTTTCGCCAATTTTGTCCAATCGGCCTATTTCCCGTCTAAATTAATGGATTTTCATTAGTTTTTTAATAAAATAATAAATTTAATTGCACAAACATCCCAATAGTTTTTAAAAATTTTAAAAATAATCCCTAAAATATATAAAAATAACAAAATAGTCCATTTTTACTTTTTTATTTTATTTTTCTCTATTTTGTTCCATTTCTCTCAACTACTTTTAATGACCATAAAAGTATATTATATGAGTTTTAAAAAAATACTTATTTATTTTCAAACTCTACTGTAAAAATTAATCTTTGTATAGTTGTAACCCATGATTGTATTTATACAAGTATGTTAATTTTTTTAATAATATAGTTTAGCAATAAAGACACTGTTTTTTTGATTTATTTTATTCTTCCTAACATAAAGATTAAAAATGTTTAAATGAAACTAATATTCCACATAAAATAAAATATTTGCTCAAATAAAAAAATATTAATAATTTTTAGTGTATTACAATTTAACTCAAGAGACTATAATTTGTCTTAACATAATTCATAAAAAAATAACTAAAATATAAAATAATTAAAACCTTAAAAAAATCTTCCAAACATAAGTTTTCCTTCTTGAATCTAAAACCTATTTTCTATCACAACAACTTACTACTATATTGTTACCTACATTCATTTATTTTAAACTAAAATCATATAGAATAAGCTAGTAAGACGTCCTCTATAGTAAGATATATTAATATCTTAAATAATATTAAAAAATATTAAATCCTCGCATTGATAAGTATAAACTTTTTTTTTATAAATTATATTAAGCCATGAAGTCTCTCTAGTTAAATTGTAATACACTAAACTATACTAATATATTATTTTTTATTTGAGCTACTATTTATTTTTATGTGGAATATTAGTTTCATTTAAATGTTTTTTAATCTTTATGTTAGGAAGAATAAAATAAATTATAAAAATAGTGTCTTTATTGCTAAACTATATTATTAAAAAGATTAACATACTTATATAAATACAATCATGTGTTGCAACTATACAAAGATTAATTTTTACGGTAGAGTTTGAAAATAAATAAATATTTTTTTAAAACTCATATAATATACTTTTATGGTCATTAAAAGTAGTTGAGAAAAATGGAACAAAATAGAGAAAAATGAAATAAAAAAGTGAAAAGGGACTATTTTATTATTTTTATATACTTTAGGGGTTATTTTTATAATTTTTAAAAATTGCTGGGGTATTTTTGTATTTAAATTTATTATTTTATTAAAAAACAAATGGAGATCCGTTAATTTGGACGGGAAATGTGTTGATTGGTCGAAATTGGCGAAAATTTCAAACATTAGGAACGACATTTTTTCCTAATGGTCGAAAATTTCAAACTACTGGGGTCGAAATGGTCGAAGTTGGCTAACCGAAAATCTATTGGGTATAATTGACGACGAAGGCAAAGCTCTAAGTAGGAACGACATTTTTTCCTAATCATAAGTTTCAATTGCAAACAAAATATATCTGGTTGAAAATCAAATCAAAGAATTTGATAGAAAAACTAATTCTCCAATTGAGGTAATCCTTAATTTATGCTACACAAATAAAACCCTATTCCTCATTTCAAGTGTTGAAAATTTTGATCTTTTGACATAAAAAAGTAAACAAGCCACTCACCAGTCACCCTTTTCAATTCGAACACTTGCACAAGGAGGAATAACAAAGATAGCTAAATGGCAGTATGGTAAAAAATCGGTGGCAAAAAAATTGGGGAAGAAATCAAAGAAGCAAATTTGTTATATGTTTCAAGATTTTGAGTTTTTGATATGGTGAATGTCTAATTGAATGGGGGCTGCTATCGAAGGATTTAAAACAGAGAACAATTGGACAGCCATCGTATGCTCTTCGTCGGTGTTCGCGTGATGCTTTTGGATGATTATGGAAAAAAGAAGAGATGAAAATGGAGGCACTGCCGCTGGATATTTATGTTATGTTTTCTAGTTTCTATCACATTTTTTTTTTTTTTTTTGTCTTTTTTCTTCCAGGAAAATTTCTCTGGTTTTTTGGTCATTTCGTCTATTACCGGTATTGACTCGATGTTTAACCCGGTCAAAGGGGGAAATGGTAGTATCATGAAAACTCGAGGGGGCAACGGTAATGTGACCAAAACCCGGGAGGTAAAATGTAGTTCGCCCATTTGAAAAATATAGTCTTTAACAAATTGTGTATTGTTGTTGTGATTTCATATTAATAACTACATAAAATATTTTTCTCCATTTTATTTATTGAAATCGCCTCTAAAATGCACTAATACACTTTCACATCAACAGAAATTGAAAATAAAAAAATCTTGTAAATAATCATTAAACTTTCAAATTATAAATGCAGTTATTTGAGAATTCTTTTTTCTTAAAAGAATTCACTTTACTATTTCATAGATTTTGATGGATTAATTTCTGGATCATCATTATGTGTAGGAGATTGATAATTGAGGTGATCATCATCAAGAGGATGATGATTATCAGAAGGAAAAGACTCTGGAATGGGTGCATCAGTTACATCCCATTGATCTAGATAATCTGGAAAATGCTGAGAATTTGATGATAAAGGATTGGTTGAAATCTGTGGTTCAAGATAAGGAAATGTAGTCTCATGAAAGATTACATCTCTGGAAAGAAACACTTTCTGATTTGTAAGATCAAAGAGTTTATAGGCTTTCTGACCAGGTGGATAACCTATAAACACTGACCTTATGGCTCTGGAATCAAATTTTCCTTTATGTGAAAGAGTGTTTGTAGCATAACATAAACTACCAAACACTCTAAGGTGAGAAATATCTGGTGGTCTGGAAAAAAGAAGCTCATAGGGAGATTTGAAGTCAAGTACTGATGAAGGAAGTCTGTTTATCAGGTAGGTGGATGTTAAAATTGCATCTTCCCAAAAAATTCTAGATAATCCGGATTGAAATAATAATGACCTGGCTATTTGAAGTAAATGTTTGTGCTTTCTTTCTACTACCCCATTTTGTTGAGGTGTATAAGGACAGGATTTTTGGTGTAAGATGCCAAAATCTGTAAAGAGATCTTGACATTGATGACTTAAGAATTCTGACCCATTGTCACTCCTGACTGTCTTGACTTTGGTATCAAACTGAGTATTAACCATTTTCAGAAAATTACTGAGTATGGCTATACTTTGAGACTTATGATGCATAAGAAATGTCCAAGTAGACCTGCTATGATCATCTACAATAGTTAGAAAATATTGTGCACCAGATAAGGATTTTTTAGAATGTGGTCCTCAAATATCCACATGAATCAATTAAAAAATTGAGTTAGATTGTATAGTACTAACTTGAAATTTTAATCTTTGTTGTTTAGACATTGGGCAAATTTCACAAGTACTGGAAATGTTTAGATCATCTTTATTACAAATGCCTAGATGATGCAATATACTATATGGAATATGGCCTAATCTATGATGCCAGGTCTTGCAATTTGCATCACTGGCCAAATGAGAAAAAAAGAAATTTCTTAGAACTAGCATACATCACAAATGGAAGATTCACATGAGTATCTATGAACTGCAAAATGGTTTCCTTAGCAAATGACTTGTGATCCAAAACATAGAGCTTGTTCATTAGTCTTCCAACTGCCACAATGGTTCTAGTCACTTGGTCCTGCAACAAACAAAAGTTTGTTGAGAACAAGCAATTTAATTTTGATGAAGAAGCTAGTTTGCTAACTGACAATAGGTTATATTTGAAAGAGGATATATGCAAGCAATCTGAAACTATAAGGTTGTCTGACAATTTTATGCCGCCTATATGATCAACTGTTTTGATCGTTCCATCAGGCAAACAAACAGGTGTGTATTGGTCAACAGGTTTATACTTAAAAAATTGTTTCAGTAATGCACTCATATGTCCAGTGGCACCAGTATCTATGAACCATAAGATTAACATCATCAAATCATTATCTGTCATCTTGTTCATGGTATCAAAAGTGCTCATACCTGCAAAGTCATGGTAATGAGCAAAATTGACACGTTCAAAATCACCAGCTGTCTGCTTTCCTCTGATCAACTTTGCCATCTCCTGCTGAAACAAATTCAAGTTGTTCATCATGGTTTGGATATCTGAATTTCCTGCATTGGTACCTGTCTCATTCTTAACTTCAGGAATGACTTCAACCATATGTGCAGAATGACCTCATGTAATCTTCTGAGTTGGTTGAAATTGTCTCCCTTCTTTGTGATTATCATTCCACCACTCTGGATAACCAATTATCTTAAAGCATGAATCCTTGATATGTCCTGTCATCTTACAGTGATCACAATTTAAAAATTTCTTCATAGCCTTCTCCTTTCTCCAATCATTCTCTTTTGGCTGTTTTGTTATTGTTGAACTTTCCTTTCTGTGAGAACATTGCAACTTGTTCACCTCCTGCTTGCATGTTCTGATCTTGATTCTTAATCTGTGAAGAATACATAGCACTCTGATCATAATTTCCTAAATTGCTGACATGACGTCGTCACACTAGTCAAATAATTAATTACCTACTTAATACAATTACTAGTAGTAAAGCAGAAAGCAGGGTCGATCCCACAGAGAAGGTTACTAAGTACCGGTTAAAATTATTTATTATTATTATTTAGACAACTAATAATAATGATTTTAAATTAAACTAAACCTAAAATTAATAATTAAATATAATTAATCAAATAAAAGAAAACCTAGGGAAAAGGGTTCACCGACCGACTATTCAGTTTAACTCAACCTATAGATATGTGACTTTGAACTTTCATTAATCTCACAACGATTCACCTATTTAAGAACTATTCACTGTCGTGATATAATTTTCTTACTCAAACTAACCCTATGACTACTGTCGTGACTATATGATTTAATTAGAGTACATTAAGAACCCTAGAATCTATAGCTGCAAAGACGGTGTTCCTACTTTCGTTGCCCACTATCTAAGTTTAATATTCCCACGAACTAGTGCTAACCTTCAACCGTCGTTCCTTCAGTTAAACACCTATAAAGTATGCAAGTGGTGATCAAATACTCACATGTAATAAAAACAAAAATATTAAATATCAACGAATGAAAAAGTCACAATCATGAATCTAATTAGATTAAATAGTATGATGGCTACATCCAAAACCCTAGATTAAATAATTTAGCTACACATCATCTCAAAAATAAATAAAATAATGAATTCCGGGAGAAGTATGCCAAAAGTTGAGATTGAAGTTGATTGCTTCCTCCTCTCTCCGATGATGCGTGAGGATGATGATGGTGCTGGTGATGAGGTGCGTGGAATTTTGGGGCTGGGATTTTGGGTTTTTGGTTTTGGTTTCGGTGGGTGGAGAAGGGGCTGGTGGAAGGGTTTTGTGGCATGAGGTTTGATGATGAAGGTGGTGAATATGGTGGAGGCGTGGAGGGTGAGCAAAGGTGATGGGGTGCTGGAGCTTGAGGTGGTGCGTGGGAGTGGAGGATGATGAAAGTGTGGTCGGTGGAGGAGTTGGTGGTTGAGGTTTTGGGTGTAGGTTTTTTTTATCTCCCAAAAAATAAAACCTTAGTTTTCTTTTTATAGGTTTTCCTCAAATCCTATTTTTTCAGGAATAAGAAAATTATATATTTTTTTTCAACCCAATTTAAATTAAAACTCCTCCAACTCTTCAAGTGTTTCAATTTCTTCCTTGTCAATTTATCAAATCTTCAATTCTCCCTTTGAGTTGCTTTTCCTTTTCAATTTAGTCCCAAATCTCAACAATTCTTCCATTCGAGTACAAAACCTACAAAAAAAGATAAAATCATATAAATAGCATATTTGTACTCAAAATATATTACAAAAATCACAAATTAGGGATATAATAAATAGGTAAAATATAAGCATATCAATTGTTGTATTGAATGTTAACTCCAGTCTGTTCATCAACTGTCAAAACCATGCTATAGGCTTTCTTCACATCAGGTAGAGGTTCCATCATCAACACATGATTCCTGACATCATTATATGAGTCACTTAAGCCTGTTAAAAACTGATATAGTCTGTTCTTTCTATCTTTGACATTTGTCTTCCTGAAATCACATTTGCATCCACCACAAGTGCAACCTCCACATGTACATTCTTCTGCTGGATCAAGAACCTGCAACTCATCCCACAGTCGCTTAAGTTTGGAGTAATAACTTGCTACATTCTGATTTCCTTGAGAGATCGTGCAGATTTCTCTTCTCAATCAATAGACCTGTGGACCATTCCGAGTTCCATGCGTCTCCTTCAATTCCTCCCAGAGTTCTAGAGCAGTTTCGGCTAGAGAAAAATTCTCAACAATACTTGGAGAAATAGCATTCAAGATCCAAGAAATCACAGTTTCATCTACTCGCAACCATTGTTCTTGTTCATAACCAGGTGTTGCTAGCTTTGTATATAATCTAGTAATAAAACCTAGTTTATTCTTTGTAGCAAGAGCTCTTCTTACAGCTCGACTCCAAGAAACATAATTCGAACCGTGTAATTGAAAATTAACAAGAGCAAGAGCTGAATTATCAGATGGAAACAAGATAAGTGGATGAATATAACCTTCGTATGTCTGCAAATCATCGCCATGACATCGGTGAGAGTCGCCAGATGGATTTGCTTCTTCCACCGCCATTCTTTCCGGTCAGAAGGTTTCGACTTCTTCAAGATTCGTGAACTGTGCAAGATTCGTGGCTACCAGAACAGGATCAGACCTGCTATAATACCATCTCAGATTGGAAGTTAGGGTTCATCAGAGAGAATTCTAGAAATGGAATTTGGGAATTTTGTTTTTGTATCAATCAAAATAATTTGTACAGCAAAAACATATTTATACACTGATAACAAACTAACTACCTTACTAACCAATCATCGCCCTATTTGATATGTCTAAACTAACCGACATATATACAAAGACCAATCAGCCCTCTACTTAAATTACTGCCTATATAGAACTCAGGGGTAAAACAGGAAACTATACAACAAAACCTGCAAGTTTGCATATGATCATATATATACTGAGGATCCGATTTTCATCTTCAAGGGGGATATTTATCATCTTTGACAATGTTCCCTCTCGATTTGGATTGATTTTGGATGCGAACGTTTATGGGATTACAGATGGAGTTTTTTGGTTCTTCCACTCTTGACTTGCTGGTCAAACTGGAACTATTGATATCTAAGCTTTGGTTGTTTTTGAGCAGAATTTTTTTTTTTTATAAAAAATTTCCTTTTAGCAAGATCGTGCAAGATATACACTCTCTCCGTTCCATAATTATTGTCCAATTAGGATTTTCATTTTTAGTTCAAATTCTAATAAAATTGAAATCTTAAACTGGATAATAATTCTTGGACAGAAGAAGTATTTGGGATTGGGAATATTGAGTTTCATATGCCCTTTAATTCATAAAATTTCTGATTGATACGAAATACTAGATAGCACGGTCAATGCACGATTGAACCACTCTACTTGCTACACTAAAACATTTCAATGAATTTTCTTTTTGTTAAGAAGGATATTCAAAAGGCAAAACAAGGATTGTGTATATTATTATGATCATTAGATACAAAAGTAAAATTTCCTTAATGTTATTCCAAAAGCGCCAAAGCTATGATACTCAAACTAATCTTTAATTTCGAAAGCTCAAGTCTCATGTACTGGAGTGTTTAATTAAATTTCAAGAAAGTTTGCGTCGACCTCTTCGTCCACTTATTCAAGTCAACGAAAATGTCGACTCCAACAATACAGATTTGTAGGGGGAAAAAAAAGTTGAAAACAGGTTGCGCTGACGTCTGCATTTTCTTTATTCGCGTCGATATTTTCGTCAAGAAATATAAGTGGACGTAAAGGTCGACGTAGATTTTAGAGCCCCCCAATTAATTTGTTTTGTTTTTATGATTTTGTAACTGCTACTCTTTATATTTTTTTTTTAATTTCTATTTCTGTTACAAAATTTTGTTGCATCTGTTCTTGAGCGTGTGAAAATCATCTAATCGACAGCCAATGTGAAGAAAAGTTATTTTGAACAAAAAAAAAAAAGATTAAACACAGCAAGTATCTGATTGGAATGTGTGTGTGTGTTCTTTTTAAAGAGCGAACCAAGAGGGTTTTTGTCTCAAAATATAATCAAACAATCAACGATGTTTCCTTCACAAAGTGGCACCCGCTACTATGAATTTTTGTCATTCAATAATTTGACATTTCGCGTGACTCTAACCTATTCAGTTAATTTTATAAATGAGACACATAATTTAAAGATTCATCGCACAACAAAGTTACGTGATCATCTGTCAAGTTCGGCGTCTTTGTGATTCAAACGTGTCTCACCTCTTACTCTCAACTCCTCCGACCACATAGTACTAATCCGGCATCGACCACCGATGATCCCAATCCATTTATGTTTTTACAAGAACCTAGCTAGTTCCAAATATCAATAAATTAAATTAGTTCATGGAGTTATGACATAACAACAAAAATATTAACTGCAAAATTAAATGTACCAAAAAACGATATGTAGTAGTATATTCACAAGTGTCAGACCTCTAAAAAACAGCAATTAATAACCTCCACTATGAAGTATGAACCATACTTATGGTATTCAAATTCAACATAACGGAAGAACATAAAAAAAATACAATAAAATGAAAATGGCTATGCCTAAATTTGAGATATCTTTTGCCTCATCAGCTCAATCTGTATGGATGCTAATTCTAACTTTGTATTTTTTGGCTGCTGGGAATGGATCTATGGCGGTTACTATGGATGCATACTTGGTGTTCATTGATCAACCCAATGGCCAGGAAATTATGCCCTTTGCCGTCCAGATTCTTTCTTCTGTTCTTGACAGGCAAGATCTTGATTGATGGTAACAATTTTTGTTTAATTTATTTTTTCTTAAGATATTTGATGGAATTGCCAATTGTGTTAGGTTTTTTTATTTTTTTTTTTTATTTTTTAAGTATCACGCATGAATGCCTTTAAAATCATACATGCGCCGACTACAAAAACATGGGTGATCTCTCGAATCGGTCTTGTACTTTTAAGATAATGATCTCGTTTATTTCTACGTATCAAACATAATTCAAAGAAAAAGAAACTGTAATTTAGAATTAGATCAAATATTTCCTTTAGAATTTGTAACTGATTTGTACTTAATTTAGTTATTTTCGTCCCTAAGTAAGTCCAATATTGGAACTTTTACTTATATTTTTTTTCTTTAAAGAATTATTGTAATCTAATTATTATATTTTTACAGCCCAACTGCGGCCGTGAAAGCCATAGAGTATGTTCAAACATTTACCGGACCGGGTTTCTCCGCCGTTCTCACTCGTGATCAGGCTTCGCAACTTCAAAGTCATTACTCTATCTAATTAATGTTTATTGTTCTTTTTCTTTTGTTTTTTTTTTATTGTAACTTATATTCATTTCTCCATTTGTTAATCTAGCTAAGATGTATAGAATAATTCGGTTTGTTTACATTTTGGTACTCATTTTATACAATTTCTTTTTTAAAAAATCTTTTCTTCCTTTTATTTTGGCAGGTCAACCAGGAGTACTATCTGTTGAAAAAACCAAAAAGTTCAGTCTGGATTAAGAAGTTTATTTTTGAGCTAAACGTGCTCAAAATTTCGCCGTGTATGTGATAAACATGATTTGGGGCATTTATGTTAGAGAGAATATTTAACATGACTTCATTCGAGTAATTTTTGATTTGATATGTCAGATCAAAATCTAATAAAATCGCATGCAGATTTTCTTATATACGACCAAATCATGGTGTTTAAGGGAAAAAAAAATCGCTAAATAAAAGTTGAAGGAAAGTTTCCTTTTCTTCTCAAAAAAAATCATGTTGTTTAAGGCTCTATAATAGTAGAATTCAGTCATTATCCTAATCTTGTATGGATAGAGAATGTTTCTCTATTGTGATTGTTATCTAAAATAAATTTGAAGGATAGTTGTCGATGGGTTCATTTTTGTCATCATTAATTGATTGCAATATATTTATTTAAGATTTTTGAACCCCTTTTATCCGTCTATTGTACGTGAATAACCACGTGTATTTGATTTTTTTTTTATTATCTCGTATGGTTAATTATAGTTTATGATAATTTTTTTTCCAAAAGAAAGAAAATTTCATTACGATTGCTGGAAATCAGCCAACTCTGATTGATACATACCGTCCAACAACGACTGACAGGAAAATACAATCACTAAACTAGTCACTGAACTATTACAACTGAAAATACAAAATAAAATTTTCACCAACCAGTTACTATTCCCAGGAAGAAAGATCCTCCAACGGCATGATTCTATTGTTGGACATACAACGGAACAGATTCAAAATCTGAACTCGAATAGGCCTTCACTAACCACCGGATTAAAGCTCCAATTAGCAAATTTGAAAAACAGATTCACCGTGAATGAAAATCTAGGGCCAAACTAGCAGTCATTAAAGACGACGTGCGGCAATCAACAGATCGAATAGGATCTATGGAGCCACACAAGACGAACAACAGACCTGGCTCTGTTGGCGCACTATATTCACTCAGTAAAGAATCGAACCAGGATCTATACTGAGGGTAGGAAATCCCACTTAATTGAATTAAAACACTAGGATGAAAATAACAAAAATATAAAAATAAATTAAACAGAAAACAAAACATCGGTCTCCGATCTGATAAACAGATCATACCAACAGATCGCATCCGTGATACCGACGGAAAACTAACTAGAACTCTAATTTCTAGAAAATCGGAATAAATTGCTGACATCAGAGTTTCGAAGCGTCGAAGTTTATGTTGATGACGCTGACGGTGTTGCAGAGATTTCACTGATGGTGGACAGATATGTATTATTTTAATTTTTTCGGTGGGCAGAAAGAAAACAAATTTTACTCCCCCAACCACCGTTAATGGAGGTTGGAGGAGGAAACAACGAAGGTTTTTTTTTTCTGAAGAAAGAGGGGAGATGTTTTTTTTCCAAGAGAGAGAAGAGACGTACTACACTTTATGATAAATCCATGATAGGCTTACTGGTGGTTACTGTTGTTATTATTCTCACCTGTCCAAAATAATTGTTCAGTTTGAAATTTTTTTAGTATACTAAAGTTGAAAATTAAAATTGGACAATTATTTTAAGATAGAAGAAGATTATTTTGTGACGCAAATTGATGAGTGAATGTCGTTATGTGGATCAGTGGATGTAGATACAAAGGAGTATAGATATCAATCTCATTCTCATTACTGAAATCAAATAGACGGAAACATTTTTTCCCCATAGAATTCTATCACTCAAGGGCATAGAACATTCATTTTTGTTAAATACCATTTCTTTCTTTAAATCGAAAGTCTGGAAACAATGCCTTTCAAGTTAACATACAAAAACAAAGGTTATAAGTGTTATAACTTGTAACCAAGAAATTTCTTTTGAAGCAATTTGGTTACTCTTAAATTTATAAAATTAAGACCGTTTGTGTTAAAGAACTACCCCTCTCACAATCATTCGTTTTTTTTTTTTAAATCTTTATTCTCTTCTAAATGTAGGAAATCACTATCTCTTCACATGCACGAAGGCTGTCTTAATAATTTCAAATGTATGAAATACTAATTTTTGTTCTTTCCATTCTAAAACAATATTCTCCATTTCTAAGTTTTTTTTTTTAATTTTTAAAAACAAACTATTCTCTTATAACAAATTATTACATTGTAACGGTGAAGTCTATGGGAAGATTGCAATCTTGTCATAGACTGAATATTAATTACCGTGGACATAGAGAACGGGATTAAACAAGAGACACAGCCATTATTCCAAAGTAAATTTTCATTTTATGTGTAACTTACGTTTTTTTTTTCGAAATTTAAATATAATTTCATTAATTTTTCTGAAGAGTTAGTAGTCACTATTGATATTCAGGAATTACAGTCCGAACAATGTTACAATGGGTACAAAGTTTGATAACAACAAGTAACCAATTATTTTCACTATTAATAACAAGGATCAACGTAAGCAAAATATTATGGATTGCTCAAGTAAGTGTATGTGGACAATTTTTTGTGAGATATTTTGATGGACATTACTTAAATTAGCGTTAGGCGTTACTCAGAATGCGGAAATAATAAAAACGCCATTAAAACAAACATGAATTCACATTTTGATTTGAGTCATCAATTTTGTCTTTAATGCACAGAGCAAAAATCTTCCAGCTGAACCCTATAAAAACCATTAGCTATCAGAGAGTTTAATTCAATATTGTTGCAAGAAAGAAAGAAAATATACTACAGCTAGCTAGCTAGATCATCTTTATCATCATGTCTTCTTCATCCATATTAGGGTTTTTGCTCATCTCTTTTGCTTTTTCTGCTTTTATACAAACAACAATGGCGACTCAGTCAGGTCATCGTGTTTACATTGTTTTCACCGATCCACCACCAAAAGGCCAAGAAGAGAAATTTTTTGTGAACATTCTTATTCCTGTTCTTGGCAGGCAAGTGTGTTTTGTTTATAACTAATACAATTGGAGAATTTGTCATTAATCGTTACACTCACATCGCACTTTTGGTTCTTTTTTTTTTTTTTGGATCGTTATTCTTATGAATTTACATTTTTAATAACTGCTTCACCATAATTTGAAAAAAAAAAACATTTTGAGCATTTTTTTGATATTACAAGTATAATTTCCCAATATTCGGGGGTTTTTTTTTTTTTTTTTTGGCTAAACATTTGTCTTTGCTTTTCAGTGCAAAAGATGCAAAGAACGCCATTCAAGATATTTATGTCCAACTTGGAGGCTTTGCTGCTCTTCTTACTTCTGATCAGGCGAATAAACTCAAAAGTTAGTATAGCAACATTATAAATAAGAGTTTTATTTTCAGATGCAAGTTCACATAACGATCTTATTAGATGGAGAAAAAGTATTACTGGTTATATACATAATATTTGTCCTCTATGTTTACCGAATTATTAATTTATTTTGCCATATAACTAATGAAGAATCACATTTGGCAGGTCAACCTGGTGTTGTGAGTGTTCTTGAAGACAAGAATATTGGCTTGCCACCCCCTACTGCTCCCTAAATTCTTTAGTCGAAGATATGTTTTAGTGGAAATAAATTCAGTATTTATTAATATTAATTAATTGTTCTCTTTTGAGATATTATTATTGTCAAAAAATGATGCAAATGCTTCTATGTTATCGTATTATTTATATGATAACATTAATTGATATTTGATATTATTATGATCATCATTTTATTTGATAAATCTTCACTTCAGCCCTCCAGTTTTAGAAAATAGCATTTTATTTCAAAACTGTTGTTTATCATTGGATTTGTCTCGCAAATATTTATCTTCGATCTCATAATTACAATAGTCCTCTCGTCCACTGCATTTTGCTTAACACTGGAAAAATGTTCAATGTATCTTTTTGTTCGATCAATTTTAGAAATTTATTTGGCTGTGCAACTTTGACACTGCAAATTATATAGTTCACCAAATTCAAATTGTACACAAGGGAGGGAGGGAGAACTAGATGGAATGTTAGTTATAATTATAGGATGGACCGATGGAAATTTCGGTTCTAGTCATGACAATCCAATTTCAAAAAAATAAAATAAACTAAAAATAAATAAATAAATAAAATAAAAAATAACTATACATTTAGCGAATAAATTGTTGTTTAATATTAAAAAGTTACCCTTAAACGCAGCTAACCAATGGTAATCTTTTTTTTTTATTTGGTTTAAAAAAATGGTAAGGAGATGATAAAAAATTAGTAACTAAATTAAGATAAAGGGATTTCCTTAACTTGTTTACCAGAATATATAAGAATATCCCTTTAATATGGTAAAAATACCTTTCAAATTCTGGTAAGTAAATAATAATGGAATTTAACTTCTAAATTTGTTATTGGAAATAAGCCTATATAAATGAGACCAATGACTAAACTTCTAGCTATCACCAATTCTTGTAGTTTTACACATTTTAGGTAGATAGAAGTAAACACATTTATACAATGGTGAGCACAAAAGACATGTACGTTGGCCTGATGATACTAGTACTGCTGGCAGTGGCCGGAGAGACGATGGGAGACGAAGTCAAAAAAGAGGCGCCGGAGTTAGATCAGGCGAATTCGCCGCCATCGAATGATCGGAGTCAGTTTTGCTTCGATTTGTGTGCGAAAGCTTGCGATACAGGTCATGGTGTAAACCCAGTGTGTTGGCCGGACTGTCTTAACAAATGCACTCCGCCACCACCTTTGCCAAAGGTTAATATTTAATTACTAGTGGAAAATTCTGTGATGAAATTGTAATACTTTTACGTGAAAAGTATTAATTACTTATCTTTCGTTTAAACAAAATATTATATATTGTTAATTCTTTTTCGATGAATTTTATATTCGTTAATAAATTATACAAACAAACAAAAAAAGAGGACGAAATGCGACAGAATTTTGTATGTAAAAATTGTAACTACTTCCTATACTCAACTAAACGTACCCGACCTTAATTTATGTTTGGATGATGTTGTAATTTTTACGGAGCATTATTGTCAAAATATTTATTAAATACAAAGCCAAATGTGTAAAATGTTAAGATATTAGCTACGATGATTGTAAATATGATCGAATGAAAACGTTTAGATGATATATAAATTCCATGTGCAATTCTTTGTAAGATGTTGTAGCGGGTATAGACGCTAATACATTAGTACAAAAAATGAACAAATATATAAAAAGTTTTGGTGATTTTTATTTATTTATTTTTGGGCAAATTACTTTCGCCAACTTTTAACTTTCAACAATTTCACAACCTTAATTACCATTCCATTCGATCTTCCCTTCCGCAATTAGTCGGAATCCCACAAGCAAAAAATCATTTAGACCTATAATTTGTTTGAGTGAATCCGTAGGAGACCCAATCGTGTATACTGATGGTTTTACTATAAACATACAAAGATGGAGCAAATTACTTGATTTTTTTTTTTTTCAATTGCAATTACACCTCAATTTTAACCAAATCGCTGGCCTCCTCCGTTCAGCCGGCAATGCCGCTTGCTGCAGCCACCAGCTGCTAGCACGCCTTAAGAGTCCGACCAACTCACCGGATCCGGTTTGTCCGGTCACATTCAACACCAGGGAAATGAATAAACTCCTTATTCCATAAGAAAATTTAGCTGTGGGTGTATAAATTCATAAGTATGGTAGTATATGTTATTTGCTTCTTACTCAAACTTTCTATTTCAATAATCCTGTAGCTATTTCATTTTAACAAATTGGACATCTAAAATGTGACGCGAGGGTAGTAATTTTCAAGAGTGAGAGTATTAATTTACTAAATAATGTATTTTTCATACGTTAAGGCAGAATTTAACGTAGTTACTCCTAACGCCATTCGTTTTTTTTTTTTCTTCGTAATATGACACTAAGTATCATGTTGGTTTACAATATTACAATTTCATTTAGAAAATGATATTTTTTTTTATCAATATTATAATTTCTGTATTGAAATACTTTTATACGCTACAGAGAAGAATTGGAATATAAATCCATAATTTGATGTGTTTCATACTTAAAAGTAGATTAATTAGTGAGAATATTTTTATCATGAGTAAGAAAGATATATAATCGACGCAAAATTTAGTACTTAAATTATTATGATTATAAATTTTCTAAATAACATTTGAGAATATCTTTCAACATAGTAACAAACATATGATGTTAAAAAAAAAAATCTAAGAATTAAATGGCATTGAAATTTTCTAAATCTGCTCTTGGGGTTTTGCACCCGTGTGCCGGCCGATGGTGTTGGACGGAGATGAAGTCCATAAGGCGCCGCCGGAGTCACATAACATCCAATTTCACCACCCTCTCAAATTAATATTGATGCAAGTGAGTTTTGTAAGAAGTTGTTGCAATTTAGGTTACATGGTCTTAATAAATGTACTCGCCAAAAGTTTAACTGGTAGGAAATTCGTATCCACAATTTTCATCCTTCGGTTTACAATTGAGCAGAAGAAAGATTTTGAATTCATTCGTTAGATAACTCTAGCAATCCATAGAAAATACCACGTATGTCTAAAAAATAAAAACTTTGAGTTTTAAAATCTATATCATTTTTAATATAAATCTAATAGTGAATTATTTTATTGGAATGAGAATCGCATTGAAAGCAAAGAAATAAGTAGCCGTAGTTCTGAAATTCTATCAAATTCTTTAGTCCAATCCATTTGTTACTTTATTTTCTGAGAAACATGATATTAACAGTCTAAAATTTGCTACCATTTTTTTTCCCCACCATGAAAGAGGCGAATTCCTACTTTACAAGAAATCATAACATTTCATCGATAAAAAACATCAATGAAGTCGTATTTCCAGTACAGTCTAACTTTATTCGGAGGAATGAAACGACTGAATGTATAATCTCTCGTTTCATTTTTAATATTATTCAATTTTTTTAAATTGAAAGAAAATATTTCGAAGTGTATTGTTAAGACATTCCTAAAGTAACACACATCCCTTTCACCCTATTAAAACAGAATACAGGATGTTGATGTGGCAACTTGTTATTAAAAATTTTTGGCTCCAAATGCACCATATTACATTAACCATTCTGTCACGTTTCATCCCTTTTTAAAAGAAAAAAAATTCTTATCCGGAGAAACAAAAATTATTTACAAAAATAGTTACACAATTTTAACTCCTAACATTTATCATTTATCAATTAAATTAAAATAGCATTTAAATTTGCTCATAAAATTATCCCCTTTATTACTCTACATTCTTTTGTATGATTTCTGCATCGTTGTACTTTTCAATATTTTTTCTCCTTTGACAGATAAATTTTTTTATTTTTATTTTTATTTTTGGCTAAAAAAAGGAAAAAAAACCAAATGTGTAGCTATTTTATTTTTTCCAAATCCAGAATTCATTTATCTATTTACACAAAATTAAAGTAGAGCGTATTTGCACGCGGCAAGCATCTAATTATGTTTTATTTTTCTTATTAGTTTTGTATTTTTACGTTATGCCATTATATTACATCGATATTGTGTAGACAGGAGCTTCCACGTGTATATTTAGAAAGACATGCAAGCCAACACGTACCTGATTCCCTACATCATCATCCATCGTCTTGAATGCTTCTTTGCCATTTTTGAGCCATATTCTCAGCAGCTTATTCAAACAAATTTATCATCGGAATAATCGAAACATGAAATCTTCTAAACAAAATTATGTTTCTTTTTCTACTGGTAATTTTATGAAAAACCCACTTATATTTTGGATCTTGGTATTCTTGACATTATCATTGGCTGCAAAAATTACAGTTGCTGATGATGACACTGATCAAACAAGAGATTACATTGTGTTTACTGATCAACCCGAAGGCCAAGACCTGAGAGACTATGCAATTCAGATTCTGAGTGCAGTTCTTGGCAGGTATGCGTGTGTTTCTGTTCTTATACAAAAATCATGAGATAGTTCTCTTTAATTAGTTACAGAAATTTTGTTTCTTGAAAAGGGTAGTAATCATTCTACAAATGAAGTTTCTTTTTTGGATACATGAGACTTATTAAAAATGGCCTAGAGTAAATAACCAAAATTGACACGAGTGTCACCACTATTTTAAGATTTTGAAAATTAGATGTTGATTTGATCTTACATGGCTTGAGTAAAATAGCCATGCTTTTTGTTTTTTTTTTTTGTTCTTCAAAGAAATCAACTGATGATACCAGACGCCTCAATAGGCCACGGTTCGAGTTATACCGGGTAAGTGGAGAACCACTATTAATTCTCTTTAAGAAAAAAGGAAAAAAAATCAACTGATGATGATAAAACAAGTTAACCAAAAAAAAAATCAAAAACCGCGACTTGGATTAGGTGTATAGTTGGTGGTTTTAGATTTTAAATAATTGGAATAATTTATGATGAAATGACAAAATATTGATTGTGGAGTGTTTTTTTTTTTTTTTTTTTCCAGCAAAGAGGATGCAGAGAAGGCATTAGGATATGTATATAGGAATGTTGGGCCTGGATTCTCTGCTAGGCTCACTCCAAAGCAAGCCTTACTACTTCAAAATCAACCTGGTGTTTTGTATGTAAAAGAGAGCGAAATGTATCAGCTCCATCCCCATCCTCATCATGATGAGGGACAGAGTGGATGGAGCCAGAGTTTATGATCTTGAGGAATTCATGTATTTTTCCTTGTGTTTTTAGGTTTTTTTTTTTTTTCGGGTGTGATGTAGAACTTTCATTTTAGGGAGGGATAATGTATGCTTCAAGCACTACTAGATTTTGCCAACGGTTGAAGAAAAGACTGAAGACTAAATATGCCAATTTACAGTGTCAGTGAGCTTTAATAAACAGGTCAAATTTTGAAATGGTGGAAATGTTTTGCGACAACAGAGGTTGCCTTCCGTAAAATCAGGAACCTAAAGGTAATTCCGAATGGAGCTCTCAAGCACCGGATTGAGGAGTGGAAAGAGATCCTTTTTTCTTGGTGAACCTCAATTATGTAATTCATGGTGTTTGTAATGTTGATTTGAAAAAGGAAATTAATAAAAGAATAGAGTGATGTGAACTTTGTTCGTTTTTTTTTTTTTGTTTTATTTATACAAGTAATATGATGAGAACGACTATAGTGCCTTTTGTGATTTTAATTGCATAGTGCTATTAAATTCAGCCTTCTATGGACAATCGGTAACACATATTAATTTAACTATTTAACAAATTACATAATGTCATGGCTCAAGTCATGACTTTGACATACATACATATATATATATATATATATATATATATATATATTTTGGTGCAACCGGTAATATATGTCAATTTAACTATTTAACAAATTACACAATGTTATGGCTCAAGCCATAACTTCAACATATGTATATATATTTTGGTGCAACCGGTAAACATATCAATTTAACTATTTAACAAATTACATAATTCTATAGCTCAAGCTATGACTTCAACATATTTTTGTTCACATTAATTTAATGCCATGACATAGGCTATAGCAATTGTGCTATTGCTTAAAACATCAAAGAAAACTTTCATTCATCGATGATGATGATGTCAGACGATGAAGATATCCCTTATGATGATGATAAAGATATTCTATCACACGAGTCAAAGCATGAATCAATATAACAAGTAAATTAACTCTGGGAACCAGTTGATAAATTGACTTCTGTAATATATAAATTCACAACTCCAGTTGATAAGTTGAAGTTTGCTTTTCTTCGGTCCTTTTCACCTTATAATTCTTTATAAAGTTCTCAAGAGTTGTTACATGTTTGCATTAATTGGTAGTTCATATGATTTTTTTTTAACTTTGACATTTCTAAAGATAGCGATTCTCAAGAGTTTTTGTTTTAATTTTATGATATTTAAATTTTTAAATTTGATATTGTATTTAATTTATTATTTGCGTCATTAGGTATAAACCAATACGCTTTCAATTGTCCGTGAATAATTTTCTCGTATGATTTAGTATTTCATTTATGCTTGTTATAAAGTAATTAATTATTTCTTTTTTTTGTCATTACGTCCATAATCTTGAAAATCCTTATTGATCACTTCTGATTGCAAAACTAATTTCTCTACAGCCAGAAGATTGAATGATAGTTAACAATAGTCAAAAAAATTTCCAAAAAAAAAAAATCTTGCTTCACAGACATTTAATGTAAAAAGAAAAATTAAATTAAGAAAATTTTAAGTTCAAACTCACAATACACACACACACATGTATGTATATATATATATATATATATATATATATATATAATTTACAAATGACTAGTAACACAAATTAATTTTAAATCAATTGATGAGCTTTTAGTGGCCTATTTTTTTGAAAATTTATTTTCTTCAAATTTATGCCTTAAGAAACTCTTTTTTACTAACTAATCTTTAATTATCTCGAACACACGATTAAAACATAATGGACTATTTTACATAAAAGTTTCTTTTGCATTAACAGATTTTAATCTCATCATGAACACATCATTACTAGCAATAAGATCTTCTAAACATTATTTTGCTATATTTTCTATGAATAAATCAATTCATAATTTTCTTTAAGTTAACTACAGCGGTACCTAACGGGGCTAGTATTCAACTTATTTTTGTAAATAAATGGAATTCAAGTAATGGTGCATAAGACTTAACACTGTTACATAAGTAATTTGCTGTCTATTTGAAAAGTATAAAAGATGGAAAAAAATAATTCACTCTACATAACCTTAAATAAAGTGATTTTTATTATTCTAAAAAATTGACCCCAGAGTTTTGATGACTTATATGATCCATGCACTATAAAGGGAAGTCTATTTGAAGCCAATCTAGCCATAACACCACTTAAACCAATTCTATAGTATTCATTATATTTTCAAATCACAGGTCATTGAAATAAGTATTTTGACGTATTTTGATTTATATATCTATCAAAACATACACATATTACTATATCCATGATTTCAAACATAATTTGTAGCTGAGGTAATTGCACATATATTTGTCATTATATCGGAGCTCCACGTAACCAAGTCATCCCTTTTACCCTATTAAAGTAGAAAACAGGATGCTGATGTGGCAATTTTGTATTAAAATGTTTTGGCTCCAAATGCACCATATTGCATAAACTATTCTGACACGTGTCACCCCCTTTTAAAAACAAAAAATATATTTACAATATTAACGAAGAGATTAGATGGCCATGTTCATTTAAATTTTGAATTTGACAGGGAATAGAACTTTCTTTCTCCACTTATTTAGGACTTTCGAAAAAATTAATTTTCGGTCAATCAATTATTTTCATCAAAAACTAAATTCATTCCTAATCAATTTTGATTATTTACATATCAATTTATTAGGTGGGAGGACGCCCCCGGGCATTTGCCTGGGGCAAGCATCTAGTTTATCATATAATAAATTAAAAAGGATTCATTATGTTTATTTTTAAGAAAATATTATATTTGCGTATTCCTTATTGATGTTCAACAATAAATTACTATGAATTCTTTAGCATACTTTATAAAAATATATTTTCGACTTTCCAATATTAATACTTCCGCGCATATGTCATGACATTAAACATAGTACTATGTTATACCTAAAAACTATGACAATAGTGTTATACAAATACAATTGCGAAGTGCCACACACATATCTCGTAAGAAACTAAAATACACATCTTATCACATAACATTTAATGTATTAAAATCTATTTTTAAAAGAAATATTGCTACATTTAATTAAAAAAACAAAAGAAAAACAATGGAAGCCATGGCCTAAACCATGGCATAAGCCACCATTAGGCCATAGCTTAAGGCATTTCATAGGCTATTTCTTAGTATTTTATCCGTTCAAACTGACCCGTTGACCCTGATAATTGGGAAATTTTCTCTAATTCGCATACAAGTGTCAATCTTTAATTGGCTATCATGTGATTGTATGGTGCTATAAAAATTGCAAACTGCACTGCAAAATTTTTCTGAAGTTTAATACTACTTCTGTTGCAGAAGAATAAGTTCATATACTTAGTATTAAATTCATAGTAAAAATAGTATAAATTTTAAAATTGAATATGAATTATTTGTTTGGCAGAGGAAGAAGAGAAATAATTATGGTGTAGTAATTAATAAAGTCTACGAAAAGATTAATTAAGATATCTAATTTCAGATAATACCATGGACACAGAAAATAAAATTGGATTAAACAAGAAACAGTAGAGATCCAGTTTATGGACTTTTCTCAATCGGCTCAATACACAATTAAGAAGAAATTGAAATGAAAAAAAAAACTTCCAGCTTCAAGTACACAAAACCTTCTTTAACAAGGCTTAAATATAATTAAAACATTACAACTAATGTATATACATATAATATACTATTCCTATCCCAAAAAATAGTACAAAATAGTACAAATATGAAAACTTGGTACGAATCATCTGAAAAGTTTAATATAGGTTTTTTTTTGGAACACAGAGAGTAAACAAAAAATTATTTTTCACTCTGATTTTTGGTGCATTTGCATAATTAGGTAAACCGGGTGGACCTCATGGATTTTAAGGACTGGAAGAATCATTCCATACGCGCGCAAGAGCCCAATCTCCCGTAGGTACATTTTTGGTACCAGCAAAATAAAAACCGTTATCTCTAACCAACCAATTTGCAGCTTCATAAAATTTCGGTAGCATAGTCGCGCAAACCGCAAACTTAGTCGGTGAATGATTATTCCGGCGAGTGAATTCACAAACCCAATTAGTGGTTGAACCATTTGGGTTCACCACGGTTTCCCAACCAAAATATTCACCAACGGTGAGGCTTCGAACCTGTGGAGCGTCATTTTTGTCGGATGTACATCGAACATTTAATTTCCAATCATTATGATCAGCATGGTCATCCTTTATGCGGATTAAGAAAAGTTTGTCATCTGCATTTACTAATTGCTTTAGGATGAGGATAATTTGTAAGGGAAAAACGAGGGTTTTTAGTCGATTTTTGTTCATCTTGGTGTATTTATTTTCATAGTAATTTACTATGAGGAAAGATAATTTCATACACACCTATGTACACATGAAAACCTTTGGTTTCGGTATGAAAACAACGGTTGTCAAGAAAAATAGGAGTAAAATCTGCATGGGAGGTCGAAAACATAAATAATACTGATCAAGTACTCGATTACTATTTTAAACTTTCTAGATACCATTGGATTAATTTACTTCTAAATAAAAGTCTAATATGTACTTTAAGTAATTAATGAGGGAAAGTGAGAGAGAGGGGAGAAAAGAAAGCCATTCATCCTTGGATTTGTACTTTAATGAATCACAATTTAGGGATGCCAAAGTTTTCCACATTTGTTTGGATTTAACATTTATTGTTAATCGGAGATATCACTATTTGCTGCTGGACTTTTTGTTGGAGGCAATTAGAAATTTGGTTACTTATTCATGTGATTCGGTCAATTGACAGGCTTCTACTGCATCACAAAATCACCAAAATTCCAGCTTTGTTATAATGTATTCCATAGACCATGATCGTGGTCGTCTAGCATTATGTGCGACACTTATATAAGAAAAACCAAATATTCCATTTCCAACGTTGGCAAAATTAATAAATTAATAAAATATGACGAATCAAGTCTTAGTTCCGTGGTAAACCATGGAGAAACTCTTAAGTTCAATCATCAACTTTTGCAAATCGAGTATGTCAATGGGCATGTTAACCCGAATAAATCCAATCACCCACAAATTCCTCAGGAATGGTTTACAAGCTTGCAAATGGTGTGGGTGGGTTTATGGATCTTTACTCAGCCCAGAGAATGGGCTTCTTTTGTTGAGGCGAATCGAGTCTGTCACTGTTACCACCAATTTTTATTAAAATCGAGTCGGCCCAACAAAAGTGGTAAATCGGCCCAATTACGCAAGAAGCACACATCCGACACGGAGAGGGGAGAGTCCATGTCCAAATCGGAGAAGAAAACGCGTCGAAAGCCCAACACGGCGCAGGAGGAAGCCGAATCCAAGTCCGAGAAGAATTACAATTTGTGGCAAGAAATAAAAAATCGAA